TCTCTTGTTCTGGTTCGCATTATTATTAGTAGTAGTGTGACTGCTGCGTCGTAGCATCATGATGCTATTCGTATGTTTACTCGTATCGTGTTAATATTCGTGTTCGCCGTCGCCTTCGTATTGTTATTATTCGTAGTATGGTGAAGTACATTAGTATAAGTCTTAGTTTACTAGTATTGATCAGCGTCTTCTCGTTGGTATAATCACTACTCCTCGTAATCGTATGAATATAGCGTGATTCTTCATATCCGTGTTATGAGTATTCGTCGTCTTAGTATGCTGTTTCGTCTTCTTCGCATTCTTACTTTGATTGACAATTGTATTACTCTTAGTACTAGTAATATCAGTATTAATCTGACTCTAAAAACGAATAGTCTTATTATTATTGCTACTCGTATTATGAGTACTCGTTTTCTTCATCGCGTTATAATTATTCGTCGTATGACTCCTCTTCTTCTGTTTCTGTTTCTGCTTCTTCTTCCTCCTCCTCCTCGTTCTCCCTCCTCTTCCTCCTCCTCCTCCTTCTCCTCCTCCTCTTCCTCCGCCCCCTCCTCCCCCTCCGCCTCCTCCTCCTCCTCCGCCCCCTCCTCCCCATCCCCCTCCGCCTCCTCCTCCTCTTCCTCCTCCTCCTCCTCCTCCTCCTCCTCCTCCTCCTCCTTTTCCTCATCCTCCTCGGGCCACCCGGGCGTGGGTGGCGAGGAAGAAAATTGAGGCAGAGCCCCAAAACGGAAAGACACACACGCGGAGCAGCAGGGGGTAAACGTGAGTAGGGTCGGCAGGAGAAGGAGACAGACGAGCAGAAAGAGCGGAGGAAGTAGCGGAAGCAGCAGCCGAGGTGGCAGCAGCAGAGGAGGGAGAGGAAGATAAGGAGGAGGCAGGTGAAAGAAATGGGAAGACCCTTGGAGACTCGCCTCATCCCACCGCAAAATCCTCCTTGTAGCATGACATGTGTATTATGAAACGCACCTACAGTCGTATCACCGCACCCCTCATCAGTCATATCATCACCATCGGTATGTTGTTTGCATCGCAAGGGTCATCGTCATCGTCGTCATCACACGTTCATTCATCATCACCGTCAAAGCCGGTGACCTTACCCCAAGATACTGCTGCGCCGCCTGATCCTGTTCGCCCTCACGCGAGTGATCCTCCTCCTGCAATTCCGCGCGCAGTCCCTCAAACTCCTGTTCTTGCCCATGATCCTGGTATTGCACTGCGATGTTCCTCCTCATTCTCACCATCGTCATCAGCATGAGCACATGCAAACTGCTCTCACATTTCCCTGTGCTCGTTCGCCATTCATGACCACCCTGTTGCCCCTATCCACCTCCTCGCTTCCTCCTGCTCCCCCTCTCTCTCCATCCTCCTCGCCTCCCTCTCTTGCCCCCTGTTCCACATCCCACTTGTTTCTCATACTCCTCTTTCGATCCTCCATCGTCCAAAACCTGTCATCGTTCGTCCTGCCCACCTCCTCCTTTCCCTCCTTCCCTCCCTCCCTCCATCGTCCATCGTCCATTCACCTCAGTAGGGTGTTTTCAAGTGTCGATCCCCCAGCAACGCTACTGACAAAAGGGGGCGTGGCAAAAAGGGGGGGGTCTTGAGCCACTGCTGACTACCCATGCCGATGCTATGCCGATGCTCCCCTGTCCCACGTCCTCTCCCCCCGTCCCCCCGTTCGGGGGGGGCGGAGGGGGACTATGGCAATCCTTGGTGGACGTTCAGGCCGCCAATTCCAGGCGTTCCCGAAAGGACGGTGCGCCAAGGAGGGCGACGACATCCTGAACATCATCGCTCCTCCCCACTTCCCCCCCGGCGAGGACCGTCATTAGGCCTCGCCTGTGAGGACCGTCAATAAGCCTCACACCCCGCGCAACTTCCATCAATGGGGTTGCGTGGGTCCCCACTCCCATTTTTGCAACTTTTCATGAGGGCGCCAATTGCCACCGGAGGGGGCCGAGGACCTCCCTGCAGCCCCTCGGCCAACGAAGACGGCTGCAGGGAGGGGTCCAAACGTACCTCCACCTTCCAGCACCAATGAACCAATAAACCAGTAAACCAATTCCTCATATTCCTCGTTGGGGCCGTGAACAGGATTTATCCCCTGCCGGCTGACGGTGCCTGTCAATGCCACTACACCATTTTACCTTATGGCGTCATGCGCCCATCAGTACACCAATACACCAAGGGTGATGGCCCGACCCGTGCCGCCGCGGTGTCACATGCGCCGCCGCGGTGTCACTCATGCGGTCGGGCCCGCTCCCCACCCATTAGCCGAGCTCTTCAAGGACGGGACTGCGAACAAAACAAATATAAAAAAGTTGTTTACCTGTGATTCTTCACCTTGAGCCAAACATATGCGGTCCTTGGCCTTTTCTACTACGCCTTCTAACTTCCCCGGCCCCTGTCCCCCCGGCAACCCTCGCCGGCCACATTGGGCCTTAGGGTTTCGGCGTGGGCTCTGTCTATGCTCGGGGGGCTGGGGCGGTCGCCTGCGTTGGCCCGTTCACTTGTGGCCGGCGGCGCGGGGCTCGCAGGAGACGGCGGAAGTAAAGTGTTGGTGACGTTTTCGCCCCCGTTTTCAGGTGACCCTGTCAGGACCGCCGCCCGCAGCTCAGGGGCTCGAGACGTGTTCCGCGCACCTCCGCAAGACAGGTGCCTACGCCTCCGCGCACGCGCCCGAGAGCGCGCAGCTTCTGCGGCAGCAAGCACCACGAGGGCGGCGACTGCGACCAGATCGAGGTCCCCGGCCCCCTGCGGCAGCGCCGGCCTGGCGACGCCCGGGGCCTCACAGCCCCCGCCACCGCAGCCCCGGGGCCCCCGGCAGAGGGCCGCACTGGCGGGTCACGCTACCGCCGCGGTTCACCGGAAGGTCGGGCAACCCACCGTCGCTCCCGTTCCCGCCCCCGCCGGCGCCAGCGCTCCGCGGCGCGCGGCGCCCAGGAACGCCGCCAGAGCTCGCCGGCGCGCGCCCCGGAGCTCCCAATCCAGGGTCGCGACAGCTTCCCCCCGCAGCCACCAGCCATGGCCACCTTTGGGCCGCCGGGGCAGCAGAACCCCACTAACAACGCCGCGATCCTCGAACTCCTCAACTCCTTGCCCACGCCTGCGGCGGGGGTGTTGCCTCAGCCGCACGGGGCGCCGCCCGGAGTTCCACAGTTGCCCGTGGTCGCTGGCCCGGCTCCGTCGACATCAACGCCAGATCAGTCTCGGAGCTTGGTTGGAAAGCTCTCTGACGAGGACCTGCTGCAGCTATTCCACGGCGACGATGCCACGGCGCTCCGGCTCCAGAAAGCAGCCTACGGCGCGCCGCCGAACTTGCCCCCGGATGTCAGCTGGGAGGATCCCCGCTTCAAGGGGGCCAGGGCCTTGTGCAATGCCGAGATGATGCGGCGCTGCAAGGGCCTGCGCGCCCCGAAGACACGGACAGCCGTCACAGATAACCCTGGCGACTACGTCCCCTACATAAAGCGATCCCAAGCGCGCCGCAATCTGCAAAAGGTTATGCCCCTCATCCCCCTGGAGGCCGACACTTTAAACTTCAATGTGTTCCTGACGTGGCTCACGCGCAACTCCCTCTACACCATGAAGTGGGACGCCTTGCCTCAGTTGATCTGCAAGATTGCGGCCACAATCGCCGACGAGGGCCAGGCCCGCCTCGAGTCAGACGGGGCCGGTAAGGAGACGCAACTCATCGCACCCTCATCGACACGTGCCCTTGCACAGGGCTGCGCGCAGCCACAGGCCCCAGCCGCAGCGCCTGCCGGTGCGGCTGCTGCGCCAGGTCAGCCCCCAGCGGGCGCCCTCGCAATCGCGCTGGAGGACCTCGAAAACTATTCGTTCGACAGGCTCCACGAGCGCAGCGGCGCCCGCACCCTTGACTGGGCGCTGGAGGATCGCGCCGTCACGGCAGAGGATGCGGCACCGCTCCGCGCGAAGTTCGAGTCCTATCACGCCGCTTTCAAAGCACTGGCTCTCAAAGGCAAGGGCGGGGGCAAGGGCACGCCCAAGTCGAAGGAGGCCAGCGACACCTTCAAGCGAATCACCGACTCCTTGGGCGTTAAGTTCGACGCTGCCAGGCTGTCGGATGTCATCCAGCTCGTCGCCGCGGTGCGTGCCCGTCTGGATGAGGCGGAGGCCTGACTTCGCACCCGCTGCCTACGGGAGCGCACGTCTGGTGGCGTGTGGGACGTGCATTGCGATGGGATGCCGCGGGTCTCCCGGAGCCCGCACGTCCGCAGGCTCATCATCACGGGCCTCAGGCTCCTCCAGGATTGCCTCCTGAGCCTCTATTCCTCCGGTGGCTCCCTCCCTTGGGATTGCATCTTCGCCCTCCACCGCCTGGGTTTTGTCCTCGCCGGGCACTTCCTCGCGGCCACCACTCACAAGTTCTACGCTCGCATCCGCCTCCTAGCGGCTACGCTTCCGGGAGCCACTTGGCCTCCCACCGAGGCCCTCATGGACGCCCCATTTGTGGTATACATAATGTGGAGCCCCTGGAGGCGCCTTTCTACATCGGGAAGACCGTCTACTGCAAGGAACGCCCCCGCAAACACCTCTACGCTTTCCTGCGCCCCTCGAACGACCCCCAGCAGCCGTACATGGTGCACCTGCGGCACTGCACCGGCGGCGATGCCCCAGCAGCTGCTGCGTCATGGCTCTACCTCCCAATCGCTCGCCCCCCCTCTGACGCCGCTGCTTCGGCCTTGGAGCGGCACCTCATTGACGTTGAGCATCCGCGCCTCAACGTGCCCCACGTGCACCGACTCCTGGCCCAGCACGGCCCGGCATCGGCACCCGCCCAGCGGTTGGCCCGTGGACCCCGCATCTCCGCCGCCCCCCCGAGGGCGCCCGCCCGTCTTACGCAGCGGCGACGACACGGGCAGGACATGCACCCCCGAGCGGGCGACGCGCCCCTCGCATTGTTTCAATCGGAGGATTGCCCCTCTTCCTCCATCACGCGATGGGCACAGCTGGCGTGCCACACGCTCCCAGCCGCCGAGGCCGACCAGGGGCATTCCGAGCTCTACCGCCTCACGTCCACTGAGCTGTTCGCAGTGTGGCATCGGATCCATCGCAGCCAGAGTGGCACCACCAAGGCCATCGGTCTACGCACGCTCGACCGAATCAGGCGGTTCCGACGGTGGCCCAGACCGCGCCTCTGCGTGCAGGGCGCCGCGCCATGGCTCCCGGACGCGCATGTACGCACGCTCTTCCGCGACCTCATTCACCGCATCATCAGCTACGCCAGGGAGCGCGGCCAAATTGCGATGATTCCGGGTATCCGTGACCTACGGATAAAGCTCACGCCGTCCAGCTGCTGCACGCTGCGCTCAGCACTGCGCGACGCCCCGCGGTACTACCGCCAGCTTGGCACCAAGGACGCGTGGCCGTGTTCGCGCCATCTTCACCCAGATCTGCCCCGCTACCAGGTCGCCAGATGGTGCTTGGCATGTCTACGCGCCACAGGACACTTGGGCGTGGCCGGCACACCTCCACCAGCTTCGTTTCCTCCCGGCGCACACGAGTGTCGTACCATCGCGGGCCATGTTTGCAACAGCGTGCATCCGAGTCCTCCGGCGGGCTTGCCGCGCCCTGAGCCTGATCTGTACGGACGCCACCCTCGCCAGCTTTACGGACGAAGCGCTTGACGCCATCGACTTCACCGCCATCCCGCAGCAGGTGGACTTCCAACCCGTCGGGCACGAGGCAATCACAATCGGCAGGCGTCTCACCCGCGGTCTCGTCGTGGAGGAGTTCCAGAAGTCGAGGCACGTCCTCGTCGCGGAGTGCCCGCTCCGCGTCCAGCTTCTGTGCCATGGCCTATTCGGTGTGGGCGGATCCGACCCCAGCTTCCAGTATTTTCCGGGGCTTACGGCCAGTTGGGTGTTGCAGCAGGCTTCGACGGTAGCGGGCATTCGTCCCCACCTTCAGCCCGCCGTGCTCTCACGCCCGGGCTCCTGGCGGATGGCTGCCGCCTCAGCTCCCAATAAACACCGGGGGAAACCAGACGGCCGCCGGCCCTTGGTAGACCGCTCCCGGTGGCCCACCCAGCCTCTGGAGGCCCCCGCGGCGAGGGATCTGGATTGGGCGAGCTCGGCCTGCATTCCCGACCACCTCCACACAGACTGCCAGCGGACGGACCTCATTCTCCCCCTCATCGTGCAGTTCAATGCGCTGCCCCCCCATGGGATGGCGAGGAAATGCGGGAGCGACCTGACGAATTGCTTCTCCAACATTCCCCACGCGCTGGTGCGCACATCGTGGCAGTACTGCCGCTCCGTGCTAACATCGCTGGGCGTGGCGATCATTTCGGCCCCCCGCCGGCGTGGGCAGGGCCGCTGCCTGCCCCACGCGCCGCCACCGGCCTCCCACCATTATCTGGAGTTCAGTCTCGCAGACATCGAGGCGTCCATAGAACACAGCCTTAAGCACCTGTGGCTCGCAGTCGGTTCCCTCGTCGGCCGCGCCATCGACGGCCTGGCCATGGGCAGCTCTCTCGCCGGGGCGCTCACGCGCATGGTCCTGGTGTACTCGGACGTCGTCTTCCACGCGTCGTTGTACTCGCCCGCCCCCGCCCCGCCGGCGTCGAGGGGCAGGGTCCGGTACGTCCACGTCCTAGGCGTCCACATTCTGGTGCTGGAGTCGCGGTACATGGACGACTACATATGCATCTGGAAGGGCCCGCCCGGCCTGCAGGAGGCACTCGCCAACCAGATTGCCTCGGTCGTCGCCTCCTGGTCTGCGCAACGCTACCCGCTGCCCAGCGAGGCCGACCACGGGGATGTCATCACGGGCATGCGCATCACCCTACATGACAACGGCACCGTGGCCGCACGGCCGGCATCATGTGACCCGCCTGGCTACGGTGGACAATTCGACTTCCCGCGATTTTTGCACTACTCCAGCTTCGTGCCGGCCCACATCAAGCGCTCCATTGTCGTCGGTGTACTAGCCAGAGTCGACCGCTTCACCGTCCCGGAGGAGCACAAACCAAAAGCGCTACTTGAGCTCGCTGGGGCTCTTTCGGATTCTGGGTTCCCCACAAGTTCGATTTGTCGCTGGATGCTGAGCCGCAGGGGCGTCAGTACACCAGACTGGCTGCAGCGCGCGTGCTCTCAGCTGGCGGCAGCTGCGGGACCCTAAACACTATGAACCACTGCCTCGGAAAGTTCGCCCACCACTCCCTCTGTCTTCCCTCCCCGCTTGGCTCCTTCCCTTCCCTCCCCTCCTTGCTTTTCGTTCTCTCTCTCTCTCTCTCTCTCGCTCTCGCTTCCCCTCCCCTTCCTCCTCTCCTTCCCCCTCCCCGGTTTCCTTTCTTTCCCCCCTCCCCCTCCTCGCGGGGGGCGGGCGGGTGCGCGTGCGGGGGGGGCGTCAATCCGAGGCGTAACGGTCTGGACGCTCTTATTTCCCAAACCCAGATTCATAGGCCGCGGATGGCGCGCCGATGGCCGGCGAGGCTACACTGGTTTTAAGGGTGTACCGGCCTATCCGCCCCTGAGGGCGTTCGCCTCTCTTTTTCCCCTTCTTTTTCCTCCTCCCTCCTCTTTTCCCTCCCCTCCCTCCCAACGTTTCGGTCACACCTGAACCCGACTTCCCGGCTCAAGTATCGACAGTGTGCGTTTGATCCCTGCCAGGTTTCTCGTCTTCCCTTCCAGGCGCACGCACTCTTCCAGGAGCCGTCAGGACACGTCATCGGCCACGCGGCCGGGACAGAGGTGGACACTGGCTTATCCAGGGGACCAAAGCCGTGTCACGGGTGGTGTTAACAAATCGTGCCCCCCGGTGGTGTTAACAAATCGTGCCCCCCGGGGGCGGTAGCCAATCTCTTGTAGCTGCAAGCTGATCGCACCCGCTGCTGTCGTGTGAGCTTCGGCCTTCTCTCCTCTCGGCCCCCCTCGGTCCCCCTCCCCCTCCTCTGTTCACCCACCCGGATGCCGTGATTTTTGCTCTGTTACCTTCCCCCCCCCTCCTCTTTTGCAGCGATCCGTGTCCGACATCTCCCTCTCTTCCTCCATTGCTGCTGTACATGTTTTCGTCCAAGATGTCTCGCCTCGCCGCCACCCTCCTGAGAAGCCGAAGGACCTCTGAGGGCGGTATGGGCAATGAGTGTTTCATGTGGGGGGGTGGGAGTAGTCGGAATTTCAATCTCAGTAGGGTGTTTTCAAGTGTCGATCCCCCAGCAACGCTACTGACAAAAGGGGGCGTGGCAAAAAGGGGGGGGGTCTTGAGCCACTGCTGACTACCCATGCCGATGCTATGCCGATGCTCCCCTGTCCCACGTCCTCTCCCCCCGTCCCCCCGTTCGGGGGGGGCGGAGGGGGACTATGGCAATCCTTGGTGGACGTTCAGGCCGCCAATTCCAGGCGTTCCCGAAAGGACGGTGCGCCAAGGAGGGCGACGACATCCTGAACATCATCGCTCCTCCCCACTTCCCCCCCGGCGAGGACCGTCATTAGGCCTCGCCTGTGAGGACCGTCAATAGGCCTCACACCCCGCGCAACTTACATCAATGGGGTTGCGTGGGTCCCCACTCCCATTATTTCAACTTTTCATGAGGGCGTCAATTGCCACCGGAGGGGGCCGAGGACCTCCCTGCAGCCCCTCGGCCAACGAAGACGGCTGCAGGGAGGGGTCCAAACGTACCTCCACCTTCCAGCACCAATGAACCAATAAACCAGTAAACCAATTCCTCATATTCCTCCTTCTCCGCTCCGCCAATTGGCCGCATGACGGCTATTATCCACCAGGAATGCGGCAAGTCGAAGGCTGTATCAGGAGTGCGTCGAGCAGTGTCATCGTCGCGCAGCGTATCATAGCAACGACAGATGCGCATGAAAATATTGATTTGACCTACCCTGCTAGCTGGGGCTCCTTGATCTGCAAGACGTCACGGGCGGCGGATACCAATTCCACTGTTCCTACTAGAACGTCCCAACTTTCGGAGCGGGGATCTCCGGCGGCAGGTTTGCTGCGCAACAGAAGAGGAATGAATGACTTCCAACCGATGAGGTCGTCGCGACGTAGCGCACGGCGTGGTTGGCGAAGTCAGGGGGAGGCCGGATCTGTGATCGACGCCCAGGATCGTGCGGTAGCGACTCAAGTGAGTGTGCTGTGTTAGCGAGGCGCCAAAACCGCGAGGCGCGATGCGCGACCGTCAACGTCAGCCTTCAGAGTCGCGGGCACCGGCCGCAAAGCCCCCTCAATACATGCCAACTGCGGAACCTCCCTCCCTGGCGCGCGGAGCGCGCCAGGGGCGGCGCCGGAGGCGCCGCCAGGGGGGTCAAGCACCGATCCGAGAAATCTGCGCGGACCTCCGAGTTTGTATGCTTATGTCATTGTTTGTTCACCTAATAGCGCACAGCGTGTTCTCGATATTGGTCGATCGGGGTGGCCCTGGCCCTGGAGCCATTCGGTCGCCTCGGATATCGCGGCTCGGGGCCGCCTGGCGTGGTCGTCACAGCCCTCTGTCCGCTCGGATCGCGGAGGACTCGGCTGCCGCTCTCTCCATGCCACGCACTGTGTGGGGTGATGGCCCGTTGACACATGACGCCGCAGCTCTGCGATGCGACATAATCCTCCTCCTCCTCCTCCTCCTCCTCCTCCTCCTCCTCCTCCTCCTCCTCCTCCTCCTCCTCCTCCTGCTCCTCCTCCTCCTCCTCCCTCCTCCTCCTCCTCCTCCTCCTCCTCTCCTCCTCCTCCTCCTCCTCCTCCTCCTCCTCCTTCCTCCTCCTCCTCCCTCCTCCTCCTCCTCCTCCTCCTCCTCCTCCTCCTCCCCTCCTCCTCCTCCTCCTCCTGCTCCCCCTCCTCCTCATCCTCCTCCTCCTCCTCATCCTCCTCCTCCTCCTCATCATCATCATCAGCAGCATCATCATCATCATCATCATCACAATCATCATCATCAGCAGCATCATCAGCATCATCACCAGCGTCATCATCATCATCATCATCATCAGCATCATCATCATCATCATCATCAGCATCATCATCATCATCATCAGCAGCAGCATCATCAGCATCATCATCATCAGAATAATCATCATCATCATCACCATCAGCATCATCATCATCCTCATCATCGTCATCATCAGCATCATCATCATCATCAACAACCTCCTCATCATCATCATCATTATCAGCAGCAGCAGCATCAGCATCAGCATCATCATCATCATCGTCAACAACATCATCATCCTCATCACAACCACCACCACCAGCTTCATCATCATCAGCAGCAGCAGCATAAGCATAAGCATCATCATCATCATCAGCAGCACCACCATCAGCATCATCATCAGCATCATCATCATCAGCATGATCATCATCATCATCATCATCATCATCATCATCATCATCATCATCATCATCATATTGTGACAGCAGCAGGATGAACAGATGTGATTTTGGCCTTGAGCCAAAGCGACGAAGTACAGTACAACCTTCCCTGAACAACATAGCGGACAATCCTGGCTGCCCCGTGAGCTGGAATGCTGGGCTATACAAGAAAGATCAACGTGCTAAACCTATCAAAGGACACCTATCACACGGGTGAAACTTTCTCCTAGGTTTAGCACCCACTATAGACAGGACAGTGACTATACAAACAAGTCAGTGCCCAGGGAGAAGGAGAGAGAGAGAGAGAGAAGAGGAGGATCCCGGATCCCCGGACTCCGGCACTGCGTGGCTCGACTGGAAGTCCTCCCACGAGATGAGTCGAGAATATTGGGTCAGCGTCCTCTTGGATGCTGCATGGGATCGATCCTTGCTGCCGGGGTCGTGCTCGCGACGAGACATCTCCCCTTCCTCGTCCACCAGGACCAGGCGGCCGGTGGCGAGCAGGCTGCCTAGTGCAGCATTCCCTTTGCTGATGTCATCTTTAGTGAGGCTATCTACTGGCATGCGGGCGTGAGGGACCCATCTGATGTGACCCCTAGCTCCTTCTAGAGCTTGACACACGGCTGCCAAATCCAATGCGGTCCTCCGGTCACGCGCACTGGCGTTTCCCTCCTTTAACATCGTGTCGTATATACTTTTCGCGTCCACTACGTGGACCTGGTCCTCCCTTCCCCCAAGGCGACAGTCCCGACGCAGGACCGTGGTGAACGGCCCACAGCACCGAGACACATCCGAAACATCGACGCCCCCGAAAACCACGTCGCGATAAGAAAAACCTGAAGGAACTCGACCTCGGACACGGCCGCAGCCAGTGCCTGTGTCTCGCCTGCGAGGGTGGATGTAACCTTACGGCGGAGCTTAGAGCTCCTCCAGCCTAGGGTGGACGCCCTCACAGCGCAGTTATCGATCACGCTCCTGTCCGTCGCCAAAACCATCCAGGCCCCCTGCGTAGGATCGGCGGGCAGACCGCGATCGTCCAGGAGGCCCTCATGGGCCCCGACTCCCCCCGCATCAGAGAAGGACACGAAAGCCATTTTTCGCGGGATCGAGACGCCAGATCGCCAGGCCTCTTGAGGCCGTGGACCGAAGGTACCTCACCATCTTGTTGGCGACAGCCACATCCCGGGTGGTGGCCGCCTTCAAGCGACTCGCTAAAATGCTGGCCGTTCCTGCGGTCTCCGGTCTGGATTCCCGCCCGACCCAGTTCAGTTCGTAAATGAGGGACCGAAGGGCCTTGAACTCGGGCTGGGTGAGGGGGGAGTCCTTCTGCCCAAGCCGTCCACGCTCGAGGCTGATCGCTCGCACTTCTTCCAAGATGTACTTTTCCTGGTCCACCGTCGTCTTCTGAGGTCCGATGGTGACGCTCCTACCGGCATACTCGACGGCCCCGGCGTGGCAGTCCCGATACTTGCCGAAGCGAAATCGGGAGGTGAGCGTCCCTGATCCAGGCCCGGGACTCCTGGGAGTTGCTGGAGACGAAGAAATCGCCCACCTCTAGCAGCACCATATTGAGAAGGGTGCCGTCTGAGGCGTACCTCATCCACCAATACGGTTCCAAGAGGCTGCGAGTGAAACCCTTCGACCTAAGATACCCGACGATCGTCTTGCGCCACGCAAGTCGGGCGTCGTCAAGTCCGTAGACGTTCACTAGAAGCCGAATCAGAGACCCCGGTTCAACCTTGATGCCCTCGCATGGTTCCACGTATATTTCTCCCTGAGCACGGCTCATGGGATCCGATTGGCAAAAGGCA